CATTCTGATTCTGAAATTTAGATGAGAGACTAGATCGTAGGCAGAACTAGGAACAGGGACAAACAGAACTTATCATTGCAAAGAGGCTACTACCTAGAAAGAAGTATTCAAGCCCAAGTTTTTCAAGCATAATGTTAAACTAAGCAAGGGCAAAGATACCCAAATGGATCCATCCCATCCCATCTACAATTAAACTAAGGAGAGAATCACTTGAGCTCCTTCCAAAGAATGTTAAGTAAACAGATTTTATTCAATCTTTCCTAGATTTTATATGAATACTTGTTATTTAATGTGGTAGTTACATTACAGTTTTACTGTATGAGCGATAGAACATTTGGTGAATCTGCCGGGCATGGTGGCTCACGCCTGTAATCCCAGCACTTTGGGTGGCCGAGGCGGGTGGATCGCGAGGTCAAGAGATCCAGACTATCCTGGCCAACATGGTGAAACCCTGTCTCTACTAAAAATACAAAAATTAGCTGGGTGCGGTGGCACGCACCTGTAGTCCCAGCTGCTCAGGAGGCTGAGGCAGGAGAACTGCTTGAACCTGGGAGGCAGAGGTTGCAATGAACCAAGATCACGCCACTGCACTCCAGCCTGGTGACAGAGTGAGACTCCATCTCAAAAAAAAAAAAAAAGAACGTTTGGTGAATCAGATTAACAAACCGGAAATGATCATACCCTCTAAGACACTTCTAGAAGCACACTAGTCCCACTGACTCATGTTACAAATTCAAGTTGGCATCCAACTAATTTGTACAATGTGTTATCCTGATGTTTCTGCAATTATACCACCTGAAGAGGGTCCCTGTCAGTCTCTGATAAGATAATATTTATCTTATTCTCCAAGTGAGAACCCAGCATATCTCGAAGGTCAGAAAGAAAGCCTCGTTCAGTGTTGCTATGTTCACAGAGGATGACATTTATTCCTTGGGAAGCAGCATCCAAAATATCATGATGGGACATCTCACCTACCAAAAAGGAAAGAGCAAATTCTTAAATGCTAGATATGGAATCTGTGGAATGAGGAAACACAAAAGCAGAAATACCAAGTTTATATTCTATATAAAGTGAATGTAATACAGCAGAACTGTTATAAATCTAGAAAGTACTGTACAGTTTTCTTTTATGTCCTCCAACTTAAAAACAGAGAAAAGTCTGGGCGCGGTGGCTCACGCCTGTAATCCCAGCACTTTGGGAAGCCTAGGCAGGGGGGTCACCTGAGCTAAGGAGTTCCAGACCAGCCTAGCCAACATGGTGAAACTCCATCTCTACTAAAAACACAAAAATTAGCTGGGTGTGCTGGCGTGCGCCTGTAATCCCAGCTACTCAGGAGGCTGAGGCGGGTGAATTGCTTCAGTACGGGGGCTGGAGGTTGCAGTGAGCCGAGATTGCACCACTGCACTTCAACCTGGGTGACAGAGCAAGACTCTGTCTTGAAAATATAATAAAATAAAAATAAAAGCCATCCCAATGAGAATTCCAACTTTTTTTTCCTTGGCAGACCCCAAGGCAATTGTCCAATCCAACATATCTGGCCAGAACCAGATCTGTAAACACCCATTTTACTGTGTTTCCACCGTAAAAAGAATGACCACTGCTAAGTAAAATGAGGCCTTCAGAAAATCTGCCTCTTATGTAATAAATACCTCTGGAGGACATTCTGTGTATACTGCCCAGCAGACTTATGCTTTGTAAGCACCAGTATTTCTGTCATCAATTAGTCTAATATACAAGGATGAAATGAATTTAAGATTATTTCCAGATTAAAACAAAGTATTTTTCTTTGACTTAAGCAAAATCCCTAGAAACTCTGGAGGGAATCTCATCTGTTGTGAGAAGATTTGGGGAAAACTCAAATATTCTGAATTTTTAATTTATTTATATTTGTATTTATTTTTTTGGATGGAGTTTTGCTCTGTCACCCAGGCTGGAGTGCAGTAGCATAATCTCAGCTCACTGCAACCTCTGCCTCCTGGGTTCAAGTGATTCTCCTGCCTCAGCCTCTCGAGTAGCTGGAATTACAGGCACCCACCACCAAGCCTGGCTAATTTTTATATGTTTAGTAGAGACGGGGTTTTGCCACGTTGGCCAGGCTGGTCTCGAACTCCTGGGCTCAAGTGATCTGCCCGCCTCGGCCTCCCAAAGTGCTGGGATTACAGGCGTGAGCCACCGTGTCCAGCCTAATATTCTGAATTTTTAAAAATGCAGTTTGTGAATTTGATGACTTGTAATTTAAGAGCAAAACTGCACTGTGTACAATTTGGTTTGCTCTTTAGAAAGCACAATTTTGAACTGTATTTAGAGACAGAAGGGCATACAAATTTAAGGAAAAAAAAGGTTCTTAGAAAAAAAATTGAGTTTTTTCTCTAATTTTCCCACAAGAAAACATCTGTAAGTAAAAAATAAGTTTTCTTAATTCCAGAATTTTTCAGTTCCCCACACTCTTCTAATAAGTGTCATCTCAGTATAAGGAATAGTTTTTATTCAAGCACCTTTTAAAACATCTTAATCTATAATAGTAAAAGTAAAAAGCAAGAAAAAGACACTAAGATGGTCCAGTTGGAAGCCTTGTTTTAGGAAAGATAAGTCTGGCTGCCTGTACTGTGACAAACTCATTGGCCGGAGAAGGCATGAAAGGGGGGAAATCAGTGAAGACCCTGCAACAATTGCTGAAGCCAACGGAAAGAAAAGCTTGGCCCAGGATGGCAGCTTGGGAAAGGAAAAGCAAATGGAGAATGAAACGACAAATGAGAGAACTTACATTTGCAAGGAGCAGGCTCCCCATCTGCTGGTCTTACAGGGTGTTACCCTTAACAACCTAATACAACGAGAACACGGCCTCAGGCTCACAGGAAGCATGATGAAGTTCAGCAGAGGTCCTTTAGGAGGGGCTTCGCATCTCTGAAGTTACACTCAAAAGCGATGCCTCACACACCAGAGACATCTAATGCTAGCCAGGTAATATTTTCTATTTCTCCCCACAGCGAGATAGGAAGGACATTTTAACATTTTGGAACTGCCTGAATTTATTTTATGAACATATCATTATATTTTATCACTTTTTTAAAAAACTAGTTTTTAAAAAACTATTTATGAGGAAATAGATACCCCAAATTGAGCGAGAAGCACAAAACAAAGAGCCTATACTCTTTTAAAAATGTCAATGTTATGAAGACAAAGCTGAGGAACTATTCCAGACTGAAGGAGACTAACAACAACTAAATGCAATGTGAGATCATGGGCTGGATATGGATCAGAAAAAGAAATGCTATAAACTTCTATCAACTGGAAAAATGTGAATATGGACTGTATATCAAGTAAATGTTTTAACAATGTTAAATTCCCTCATTTGATAATTGTTCTATAGACTTAGAATGTCTTTGTTCTTAGAAGACTATACACTGAAGTATTGAGAGGTAAAGAAATTGTCATGTCTGCAATCGATTTCTAAAATGGTCCTGGGGGAAATACATCTATATATATATATATAAAAAAAAAAATTTTAACTTGTATATATATCTATATATGCACACACAAATGTATACAGACATATATATAATATGTACATAAAGAATGTACAAATATGGCAGAATATAACCATTAGTAACCAAGGTGAAGAGCATATAGGAGTTCATTGTACTATTCTTGCAACTTTTGCATAGGTCTGAAATTCCTTCTAAGTAAAATGCTAAAATGAATTTTAAAATAGCCAGACACAATGCTGTAAGATATTCATATTGAAATTTCACTTTAATCTGGTAGAAATTTAAGGACTTACAAAAATCTTTTATCTTCAGAAGAATGGAAAATAGGTAATAGTCACATACATGTTTTCTTTTTTTAAATCAATTTATTGGTTTAGAGCAGTTCCATCAGGCTTTCTCAGATGCTGCTCCTTGGTACTTCGGGATGTGACAATGCTTTCAGTGCAGCAGCCTTTGTAAGAGAGTGTGCTACACAACAAGCATGGGTGTGGGAGGCAAGGGAAGCATGGAAGTAGCCAAAGGAATGGCCAGAGGGCTAAGAGTCTACAGCCTGGTCCTTGAAGTGGGAAAAGTAATTCTTTAACTCATTCTCTCCTAACCCTAAGAAGGAGGAGGTAAACAAACTGGCAACCCATTAAAATGCCTTCAAATCCTTTGCAGGTATAATGGGCCATGTTTGGTCACATTCCTGAGTAGTAACTACGTGAAGTAATTCAATAAAAATTAGCCAGGACCTATTAGGTAGTATCCTTAAGGAGAGAGTGTAAGGCCCAGGAGCCAATTACTGTCCAACAGAAGTGCACACTGGAGATCAAGGACAAAATGATAGGGACCCACAAGAGGCAGAAGCAGGACAGTGTCAGAGAAGGCTTCTCAGAGGGGGTGCTCACTTATCATGAGGAGAACAAGGAAAAGGCATTCTAACCAGAGAAAACAGCATATGCAAAGGGTACAAGAAAGAGGATGCAATGTTCAGGCTCTACCAGACAGATGAAGGAAATCACTGAAGTCTTTTTAGTCAAGACCATCAAATACACACTGTGAAAAGTTAATTTCAGGAGAGTACATGGAAGATAACATTAGAGGGTTGATGCTGTACTTCAAGTAGGAGACACTGCCTGGACAGAGATAAGGGGGAAGATTCTAGAAAGATTTGGGAGCTTGAATTGATAGGAATTGATGATTGGCTTTAGGCTAAGAGGAACCATTTCCTAGCTAAGGTGACAGGGTAGAAAGTATCCCACTGACGTGAAATCTGAGAGGTTTGGGACAGTTTAGGAAGAATGTAGGTAAAATAAATGCTGACCATTAATTTTTGAGATAATAAATTGTTCAATGATTTCATCCCTCCACAAAGAACGCAGTATGTCCCAGTTCTGTTGTAGTTTCTGTTTAGTTCAAGTTTACAAAACATTAATTAGGTATCATCTATGTGCCAGAGGTACTGTCCTAAAATCTGCCATTTTTGATTTTGCAAAAAATAAACCAAGGGAGATCCAAAGTCTGTCCTACCTGTGAGGTAAAGGTCAGCCTTGACACCCTGCAGAACGCTGCTCCCAGAACCAGCACACAGGGCCACAACTTTGACTTGAGACTCTTCAAGACAAAGGAAACAAGAGACCAATACTTTACAATTCCCTTTCTTTTTACTATTATAATTTGTACCAAGAATCCTAAACATAATACAGATTTCAGTCGTGGTCTTATCATGAGTATATGAATTGTTCTTTCTGCATTTAAAAAAAAAAACATGTTTTAATATAAGCAAACAGGTCATTCTTTTGATATTGCATAGCTAACCCAAGGTACAGTTGTTATTCCTTTTTTTTTTTTTTTTAACTAACAACCTTTGTGAATTGCACAAAATATGGAACAATGCACAAATTTGCGTGTAATCTTTGCATAGGCGCCATGCTAATCTATATCATCCAATTTTTAGTATATGTGCTGCTGAAGGGAGTACCGTTATTCCTTTGACATGGCTGCACACTCACAAACCACTGAATAGTACTAATGGTGCAGCTCCAGGCAGTACTGCAACGTTGCTGGGTAAAGTAATCTCACCTGGGTCTTCAGACAACAGTGAGAGGTAGGCAAGTACTATCTCTATTCTCAGGGGAGGAAGCTAAGGAACTAAAAGGACTAGTGAGAAAGAGGAATGCTATGAATGGAGTTGGCACATATTTTTAAATATACTATTTATTCTCAAAAAGCACCCTCTGAAAAGTGAAATAACCGCAACTTTTGAACCAAAATCCAAGTATTTAGCACTTGGGTTTCTAAAATGGACACTTCTTCAGTGGTCACTCCAGTTCAGCAGCACGGTATCTCAAAGATGGGGCTTTGGAGTTATTTTGGAAGTCAAATCCCACCTCTGCTATCCATTTTCTTTGGACACTAACTCCCTTGGGTTGTTTGATCTAACTGGACTTTTGCATAAGTTACTCATATGGTTTGGCTCTGTGTCCCCATCCAAACCTTACCTTGAACAGTAATCCCCATAATTCCCACGGGTCCAGGGCAGGACCAGGTGGAGGTAATTGGGTCATGGGGGCAGTTCCCCCATGCTGTTCTCGTGATAACGCGTGAGTCTTATGAGATGTGATGGTTTCATAAGCGTCTGGCATTTCCCTCGCTTGCACTCATTCTCTCTTCTGCCACCCTGAGAAGAGGTGCCTTCCACCATGATTGTAAGTTTTCTGTGGCCTCCCCAGCCATGCAGAACAATTAAACCTCTTTTCTTTATAAATTAAACCTCTTTTCTTTATAAATTAAAGAGTCAATTAAACCTCTTTTCTTTATAAATTACCCAGACTTGGGCATTTCTTCATAGCAGTGTGAGAATGAACTAATACAGTTACTTGTCTCTCTGAACCAAAACTGTTCACCTGTAACATAGGAGAAATAGTACCAACCACAAAGCTAACAACAGCTAGCACTTTAACTGTACTTAATGTGAGCCAGTCACTGTGCCATGTCACATGGATTATACTACCACTCTCTGAGTTAGGTTTTATTATTAATGCAGTTTTTACCAATGAGGCTACTGGGACACAGAGGGCATAAACAACTTGTCAAAGACATGCAGCAAACAGACAGGACAGACAAATCTGAAGCCAGGTTGTCTGAGCTCAGAATCTATACCTATAACCACTGTGCCCCACTGCTTTTGCCAGTGGGAGCTCACACACTCAGGACAGACAATCAGTACAGTGCTAGGTTCACTGCAGGTGTTGAACAAATGTCTGTTCACTCTTTTTGTTCTCAAAAGTACTGGGAAAGGCCAGAAGAAAAAATACAAGACTTAGAAACTGCAATGGATCAGATCACTCAGTGGCACCTCACTAGAAAATACTACCAGTCTTATAAGTGCAAAATTTATGTTGTAATTGTAGCAATCAAGATTCCAGCTCTCCTCCTGACATATGGTAAGACTGCACTTTATGCCTCCCTTGGTTGTATTGGATAACATGACTAATTCTGGAAAATAAGTTGAGCAGAAATGAACATGTTTCCTGGAATTTTGAACTGATGGTTTAAGACCCTGCAAAACTCTCTCCCTCTGCAACAACAACCAGTCTACAATGGCCAGACTTCCTAAAATAACCAACTTGAAATGAACACATAGCATGACAGAGAAATAAATCTCATTGATTAGGCCAATGAGATGTATTCCACAGCAGAAGCTGGCCTACCCTAATCAATAAAGTAAACCAATGATCTCCTATGAGCTGCTAACACATTCTCTATCACATATTAATACAATCAAGAGTTTCAACCTTTGTCCAATGTTAACAGTAGGCATACTGGATAAATGAAGGAGCAATATTTACCTAAGGTTCTCCCCACCCCAAGGGCTAAGCGAATATGAGATAGTTTTAGGTGTCTTTTGATTCGATCAATCATGGTTGCCAGGGAGACAGATTCATCCAGTGTGCATAAGCGTCCCATTCCAGTATGTAGAAGCAAAGGCTGAGGAGAAACAGAAGTTAGAAATGGTGTCCACTGTCAGTCCTAAAACAACAAATGCTAAAATCAATCAGTATGCACACTGTGAGGTTACTACAGCAAGCTCCAGGCTAAATGTGGGGACACAAACCTGACAAAATCATTCTTCTAGGAGCTCACAGTTTCCTAGGAAGGCAGATGTTTAAATCAATAATCAGGCCAGGCACGATGGCTCATGCCTATAATCCTAGCACTTTGGGAGGCTGAGGTGGGTGGATTGTTTGAGCTCGGGAGTTTGAGACCAGCCTGGGCAACATAGTGAGACTTCATCTCCATTAAAAAATCCAAAAATTAGCCAGGCATGGTGGCGTGCACCTGCACTCCCAGCTTCTTGGGAGCTGAATGGGAGGTGGGCTTGAGCTGCCCAAGAGGCAGAGGTGAGCTGAGATTATACCACCGCACTCCAGCCTGGGGACAGAGCCAGACCCTGCCTCAAAAATAAATTAATTAATTAAACAAAATAATAAAACTGTTTAAATTCAAGGTAGGTTCTACAGTTGCAGCAGCACAAGGAATGACAAACTAAATGAGCTGTGACTTGGGAGGCTTGGGGAGTACTTGGAGGAAGGACTCAGGTCTTAGAGAAAACCCTAAAAGAGTTAAAAAGGGGGAAATAAAAAAGTTTGAAAGGGGGTGATGTCAAGTGCAGTGTGGCAGGACAGAGGTACGATGAGATGAAGAAAGGCACTCTAAACAGAGAGAACATGGACAAAGGTGCCAAAGACTTGAGAGAACACACTGTGGGGGTAGATCCAAATGAAGACAGTATGGCTACTGTGCAGAGCACGTGCTGTGGAAGGAGAGGAGGCTGGAGGCCCAGGCTGTAGCAGATTATTAAGGGCTTCCGACACCATGCTAAAGAGCCTGGACTGCCTCCTAGGTGCTCGGTGAGACAACTCTCATCACAGAAAATGAGAGTTTCAACTCCTATGGTGGCAGAGCCAATACAGAGGAGAAATACTGTATAGATATGAGGCCAGAATCAGCAGGGCTTGGAGTCAAGGAGAAATATGAAAACTTGGAAACTAAAGTAGATAATGATACTGAAATATGAAATATATATTAAAAAAGGGGGGGTGGCACAGGGATAAAGTATTTGGATATATTGAATTTGAAATACTTGTGGGCTCTGTAAGTGCAAAACATCCAGAAAGTAGTTGAAAATATGGATTCTTGTCATTTTTTCCCTTAAGAAAGCATTCTAAGTCAAAAAGTAAAGATAGGAATCATCATCATACAAATGGCTATCAGGTGAAAGAGTGAATGACATGGTCCAGGCAGAGGGTATAAAATAAAGAGAGAGCAAACCTGTAACCAAATCTGTAACCCTGAAGAAGTACCACTATTTTCCTGTTCCTGGAATGTCTCCCTTTCTCAATTACTTCCTAGAGAATATTATGCTCTCATTGCCATTTTGTACTTTAGGTAACAGTGAATGGCCTGTTGATCTAATAAATTTACAAATGAATTTGCTGAAGAAAAATGCAAAGTAATGATACTTATCTAACTGTACACATCAAATATGTACAATTCTGAGTATATCAGTTATACCTCAATAAAGCTGAAAATGCACAGTATTTTAAGATCAAACACAAAATATTTTTATTACCTTCTCCAGCGACAGAATTTCTGTCTTCTGATAAAGTTGTTTGTTCTGAGAAAGAAAATCTACCACCTGCATCAAAGCCTTCTGAGTACAATTCAGACTAATCCGTGTTTGTTCCTCATTATCAATCCTAGGGGGGAAAAATCACTCCATTTAGGCCAAATATAGCCAAAATGTATTTTACATAATCCACAGTTTACAAACTTACTATAATAAGAGATTAGATTTATGTAGAACTAAGGATTTAACCAACAGAACCCACTTAATCTGAAACTAATCCATTTTCTAGAATAGCATTTCTCTAAGTCTACTATGCATCAGAATCACCTGGAGGATTATTAAAACACAGATTGCTGGGTCCCACCCCTGGAGTTTCTGATTCATTATATCTAGGTGGGGGGTCTGAGAGTTTACCTTTCTAACAAGTTCCAGGTGATGCTGATATTGCTGTTCCAGAGACCTCACTTGGAAACTACTGTTCAAGAACTGTTCTCAATCCCAATTGTGCATCAGAAATTTCCTGGCTGGGCGCGGTGGCTCACACCTGTAATCCCAGCATTTTGGGAGGCCAAGGTGGGCAGATCACTTGAGCCCAGGAGTTCGAGACCAGCCTGAGCAAGATAGCAGGACCCCATTTTATTTTTTTATTAAAAAATTAAAGGTTAAAAAAAAAAAAAAGGCCAGGCACAGTGGTTCACACCTGTAATCCCAGCACTTTGGGAGGCCGAGGTAGGTGGATCACCTGAGATCAGGAGTTCAAGACCAGCCTGGCCAACATGGTGAAACCCCATCTCCACCAAAAATACAAAAAAAAATTAGCCAGGCGTGGTGGGGGGGGTGCCTGTAGTCCCAGCCACTCCCCAGTGGCTGAGGCAGGAGAATCACTTGGACCTGGGAGGCAGAGGTTACAGTGAGCCGAGATCACGCCACTGCACTCCAATCTGGGCAACAGAGTAAGACACTGTCTTAAAAAAAAAAAAAAATTCCTTCTAGTTTCTTAAAATAACAGGTGCTGGATCCTTCCACAGAACCAGTGAAACAGAACATCTACGAATGGGGCTGGGGCAAACTGAATTTTTTTAAAGCCTTAGAGATAATTTTAAAACATTGAATTTGAGAATGTCTTGGACAGATTCTCAGGCAAACTCCATTCTAATTACAAGATCTGAGATGAATACAAAAATCTGCATTTTAAATAAGCACCTCATTAACAATCATGCAGGGGGTCCTTGGATCACCCTCCAGAGCCTCTCCAAAATTACTGGCATCAAGAAAGTTTCACATTTAACCATAAATTCTAAATATAATCATAAAATTCTAGAACTAAAGGACACCTTTAAAGATAATCTGGAAACATTAATTATAAACTCTGCAATCATCTGTGAAATTTTTTAAAAAGAAAGAAAACCAATGCCTTGGTCCCTATCTAGTGGTAAAACTCAGATATTATCTACAATATGGAAAAACTGGAATCGAACAAAAAGTCCATCAGTAGGAAGAGGAATGCTTAAAGAAACTACCATTCATCCATAATAAGAAACACTACAAGCAATTAAAAATAATGAGAGGTTAGGCTGGGGGCAGTGGCTCATGCCTGTAATCCCAGCACTTTGGGAAATCAAGGTGGACACATGGCTTGAGCCCAGGAGTTTGACACCAGCCTAAACAACAAGTCAAAACCCTGTCTCTACAAAAGATACAAAAATTAGCCAGGCATGGTGGCAAGTTATAACTATAGTCCCAGCTATTAGGGAGGCTGAGGTGGGAGGATGGCTTGAGCCTGTGAGGTCAAGGCTGCAATGGGCTGTGATCATGCCACTGCACTGCAGCCTGGGTGACGAAGTGAGACCTTGTCTCTCAAAAATAAAAAATAAAAAAACAGCTGGGCACCATGGCTCACGCCTATAATCCCAGCACTTTGGGAGGCTGAGGCAGGCAGATCATGAGGTCAGGAGTTCAAGACCAACCCACCCAACATGATGAAACCCCATCTCTACCAAAAATACAAAAAAAAATTAGCCAGGCATGGTGGCGGGCGCTTGAACCAGGGAGGCAGAGGTTGCAGTGAGCCAAGATTGTGCCACTGCACTCCAACCTGGGTGACAGACCTAGACTTCGTCTCAAAAATAATAATAAATAATAAACAAACCAAAAAAACTCCTATCTCTGCCCTAAATAATGATTGACCTTATAAAGAGGCACTTAATGTATTTTTCCCTTGAAGTGCTTGGCACCTATAGTCCCAGCTAATTAAGAGGCTGAGGTGGGAAGACTGCTTGAGGCCAGCAGCTTAAAGCCATGGCAAGCTACGATCATACCACTGCACTCCAGCATGGGAATCGCTTTTTTTTTTTTTTTTTTTGAGATGGAGTCTCGCTCTTGTTGCCCAGGCTGGAGGGAAATGGAGCGATCTCGGCTCGCTGCAACCTCCGCCTCCTGGGTTCAAGTGATTCGCCTGCCTCAGCCTCCCGAGTAGCTGGGATTACAGGCATGCGCCACCAAGCCCAGCTAATTTTGTATTTTTAGTAAAGACGGGGTTTCTCCATGTTGGTCAGGCTGGTTTCGAACTCCTGACCTCAGGTGATCCACCAGCCTTGGCCTCCCAAAGTGCTGGGATTATAGGTGTGAGCCACCGCGCCCAGCCTGGGAGTCTCTTAAAACAAACAAACAAAGATTATTCAGAAAAGTATTTCCCATGATGTTAAATTAAAAAACTGATTTATGAAAATATATATTTAAAATGTAAAGATAAATATAAAAAACAAAGAAAGTGCTTGGAAATCACTGATTTGCTGGGAACCAATAAAAGCCTCATCACCACATCACTAGGATCTATCTGTGTTCTCTAAAGTGAAAACAACTATCTTTGAACATTACCAGGATTAGAAATACTGTATATAAAATGCATAGTATAGTCCCCTGACATAGAAAATACTTAATAAGTGTTACTTATTGTTTTTATTGTTTTGAAAAAATTCCATAGGTCTCCAGGACCCACAGACAAATGAGGAGTATGCTGCTTTGTAAACCAACTCCAGAGAAAATTATGTTTCAAGCCTAAATACCAGGGTTACAGACTTTGTAAGGAAGATGCTTACAAATAAATACACACACAAAAAAGAGAAAAATAAATTGTACCTAGCAGAAAAAGAAGTGACAGAAACATCATCAATTCCTTTCACTGCAGACATGACTTTGTCCAGGGCTTGGGTGTGGCTAACGTTGAATTCTACTCGGTGGTTTCCCTCTGTAGGGTAGTTGGGAGCTTTGGAAGGATGTATGGGCCTGGAGGTACAAGCTCCTAGAGAAAATATTGTGGGAAAATGGGAGTTTTGGGGGGTTAGAGGTTAACATTTAAAAGTAAGATAAACTATTATAGGCAAAATTTCTAAGAAATGACTTTTTTAAAAGATTCATTCTCATGCTTATGAGATATACACACACACATATATATATCCTTTAGATATACATCACCAGTCCCCTAGGGCTTTGGTATGGATATACAAAATCAAATTATTTCAGAATTATTTTCCAAAAGATTCTTAAATCTCTGAAAAACTTGGACAAGAAAGACTGATTCACACATTTTCAGATAATACACAGAATGGTCTACTGTTTGGTAAATCTACCCATGTAAACCATCATTCAGGTTGCAAATGTTCATACTTTATTTGACCACATTAATCCAGATACCATCATAAAAGCTTCAGCCCAAAATAAGTAAACAAAAGACTTACTAAAGTAAAGCTAAAATCCATACATCATTCCCTAGGCATAAGTAAACATTCACTAAAAACATTCACTAAAACCCAGATGTCTATTTGCCTGATTTATCAATCAAGTGTATTCTGGAGAGACCTGAGCTTTCAATTCAACAAGCATTTTTCAAGTGCCTGGGTGACAGGCATTGTGCCACAAAAGTGAGGAATCACGAAGTTCAGCCCAGTAAGGAAGACTTCTGCTCTCCTAACTCCATAAGAATAAAAAATGTTTCCTTTTTCAAATGCAATTTAACTGCCAAATTTCAGCAACATTATTTTAAATTTATTATACAAAAATGGAATCATACCCTCCCCAACCCTAAAGCAGTTAAAACTTTACTGGAAAGACATTCTAAGGTTTCAAAGTATTTGCAGGGAAAATATCAAATATGAAAGAAGCTTCTCACCAAGCCCTTTAGCCAACCAGTTGTTGACGCCCTGGGGTGCGGCATCATAGGCTGTGTGAGGAGAGTAGATACCGACTCTGTTCTCCAGAGCCTGGATCACCAGGCGCTCCTTCCAGGTGTTCCAGGTTATGCGCTTCATGGGTCGGAAGATAGGCGGATGGTAGGAGAGAATGAGGTCTGCCTTCTTTTGCAGCCCCTCCTCCATCACTTCCTCAGTCAGGTCATTGGTCAGGAAGAGCGTATTTACAGTATGTGGTGGGCTTGGTTCCACCAGTAATCCAACATTGTCCCAACTCTCGGCAAAGGAGAGGGATGCAAAGTCATTCAAGGAAGAAAGGAGAGCCTTCAAATCCATGAAGGAACGGGAAGAACTGCAGATCAGGCAATCTACAAACCGGACTGTCGTGGGGACCGGGCGTACACAAGATGACAACATACAGAAATCAGGTAAAGTTCAAGTTTCTGAAGTCAAAACAAAGAAAATGGTACACAGGTACACTTTAGGCCTGGATCTTTGAGGCATCAAAGCATATGGGCAAAAGAGCTGTCATCATAGAGATCTGGGTTCAAATAGTGGCTCTGCCACTTACCAGCACACAGTAACTTAGGTAAACCATTTAACCTCTCCAATCTTGTTTTCTCACCTACGAAACGGAGATACTACAGCCCACCTCACAGGCCATCCAGAGGAGCAAATGAATTATGTAACCTAGCAAAGCCTGGTACATAATAAACAAATGTCCATCCCATCTCCTGCCTCACACACCCTTGTTCTTATTCTCCCTACCCTTGCTTCAACCAACCTCCTCCCTAATCCATTTCTCTAAATATTACCCTTCCTTTTCCCAAACCCCCTTCAACTTCTTAAATAAAACTTTTCTTGACCTCCCTTTTCAGCATCCTTCCCAAGGCTCCCCACCCGTCAGTATTCTCATTATTGTGTGTGCCCATTATGCTAAAGCTACTATGGAATAGGAACTATCTTTAATAAATCTCAGTATCGCTAATATAAGCCAGCACTAACTGCTTACTGCATAGAATGACACTGCTCACCTCCCCTGATTGCAACAGAATTTGGAGTTGGGGTGATATATACTGACATTACAATGTGCTTTACCAAAAAACAGAATAATGTGGCGGGGCGCCTGTAATCCCAGCACTTTGGGAGGCCGAGGCAGGAGGATCATGAGATCAAAAGATAAAGACCATCCTGGCCAACATGGTGAAACCCCGTCTCTACTAAAAATACAAAAATTAGCTGGGCATGGTGGCGTGCACCTGTAGTACCAGCTACTTGGGAGGCTGAGGCAGGAGAATCGCTTGAACCGGGGAGGTGGAGGTTGCAGTGAGCCAAGATCGTGCCACAGCACTATGGCCTGGGCAACAGAGTGAGACTCCGTCTCATAAAAAAAAAGAATGTTTAAAATGTCAAGTGCTTTATCAGAATCAAGAATCAAGGAATACATAGGCAGGTCACTCTACAAATGGGCAGGGTCAAGGCAGAAGAAGGGAGAAGCCACTGCCCCTTAAGCAACCTTTGCTGCACAAAGGCCAGGCTCAAGAGGTGGAAGAGGGTAAGGTATAGGGTACTTTTCCCACGTAGCCTGTAAGCCTTCTAAATATCTACATCCAACAAGGAACTGAAAAGGTTGGCAAAAGAGGAAAGGTGGGAGGGCAATAGAAAGGCAGAAAAAAACTGCTGGCTCCAAAATATGCACAATTAGTAAATGTTTAATCAAATAACCACGAAAGATAATGCTGTCAACCCCATTCTTAAACCTACCACTTATAAACTGTTTGAAGAAAAGCATTTCATAGTATGCACAATAAGAAAGCATAGCCAACTGTAAATTTGATGAAATATCCATAAGCCAATTATTCCAAAAGCAATTTTTCAACGTTTCTATTTAATGAGATGAGGATGCTTATTTAATACATTATTTGAAGTGATACGGGGTCTCCAAAAACCACTCGAGGTCTTGTAAGTTTGTTTTTGTTTTCTTTTTGAGACAGGGTTTCACTAGTCGACTAGGCTGCAGTGCAGGGGCATGATCTCTGCTCACTGCAGCCTCGACTTCCTGAGCTCAAGCAGATCCTTCCACCTCAGCCTCCTGAGTAGCTCAGACTACAGGCGCGGAACACCACACCTGGCTAATTTTTGTATTTTTAGTAGAGATAGAGATTCACGATGTTGCCCAGGCTGGTCTCAAACTCCTGCACTCAAGTGATCCACCTGCCTCGGCCTCCAAGAGTGCTGGGATTACAGAGGTGAGTCACCGCGTCCGGCCTTGGAAGATCTTCTAATGGTACTCATAGTACTCCGTTCTCCAGCATCTTCTACATCTGGCAAGCTCGAAAGTGAAACCCTAGTGGGCCACCATTCAGGTTTTGAGTTATTTACTGCAACAGATGAGGAAACTGCGAGGCTACATGGCCACAGTCAACAACGACAACAGGAGGCAGGATAGTATGGTGGTTAAGAGCACCGACCCTGAAGCCAGTCTGAATCCAAGAGCCAGAGCTGTGCAACAACAGGTAGATGACTCACCTATGCATTTTCCTCCTTAAAGGATGTAGTGCCCAGGCCACAATATCGCGAGATTTATATGTAAAGCTGAAAACAGCTCCTGTCCTAAAGCAAGCACTGTTTACTACTAAGTAGCATCAGCAGGGCCCCTTTGCAAGTTGCAAACCGCTCCCTCAACGTTACCTCATCTATGCCTCATTTCAGCGCCACTTCAGGCCTTTTCCAGGACAGTGAAAAACCACGAGACACAGCCAGTAAGTCTGAATCAGGACCCCTGACCCACTAGTGCGCTGTCCTCTCGTGCGGCAGGGCAGTTTTCTGACCCAGCCTCTTCTGCTCTGCTCTGCAGCACCAACACAACAATCACAGCCGACCCCAACCGGCACCTACCTCGAAGATCACAACTACACTCGCGGGTTTTTAAATCGCCCACTACTCACCAGTCCCGGAAACTTCGCTGCGTCACTTCCGGTCCTGCGTCGGCGCTCCGGGCGCTGTGGCAATGGGCTCCCTGTAGCGAGAGAGCTGGGCGGAAGTGGTCTTTTCCGTTTGGCAGCCGAGTGTAAAGCATTGCTTGAGGTTGGTCAGGTAGTTCTCGCCTTACATTTCTCTTCCCAGTGCATTAGTAGAGCTCCGTTTCACTTTCAAATTTCCAGTTGGGGATAAATTACATTGTCGTTTTGGTTTGAGATAGGAAGGAGAGGGGAAGGACGAGGTGAGGCGGTAAGGGGCGTTCTCTCTCTTGGGTCCCGCGCCCAACTTCCGCTGGCCCAAAGAAACTATGATTTTGAACTAACAGACCTATGCTGGAATCTGCGATTACATTTTTTCTGTTTTAACAACGGCTGTGCCGGGCGCGGTGGCTCACGCCTGTAATCCCAGCAGTTTGGGAGGCTGAGGCGGGCGGATCACAAGGTCAGGAGATCGAGACCACGGTGAAACCCCGTCTCTACTAAAAAATACAAAAAATTAGCCGGGCGCTGTGGCGGGCGCCTGTAGTCCCAGCTACTCGGGAGGCTGAGGCAGGAGAATGGCTTGAACCCGGGAGGCGGAGCTTGCAGTGAGCCGAGATCGCGCCACTGCACTCCAGCCTGGGGGACAGAGCGAGACTCCGTCTCAAGAAAAAAAAAAAAACAACGGCTGTGCTAGACAAAGTGGTGAAGCCCAAGTATGGAGTAACGGCATTCATTTTTTCATTCACTTATTCGAATGCTTGCTGAGTTTTGTGTTGCTACTGGTTTAGTTCTTGGGATACTGCGAGTGAACAGTTGGGCGGCGAGGCTGTTGTTGCAAAGTCAGAGTAAAAGAAGGGCCCTGCACGGTGGCTCACGCCTGTAATCCCAGCACTTTGGGAGGCCGAGGCGGGAGGATCACTTAAGGTCAGGAGTTCGAGACCAGTCTGGCCAACACGGCGAAACCCCGTCTGTACTAAAAATACAAAAATTAGTCGTGCGTGGTAGTGTGCGCCTGTAGTCCCACCTACTCGGGGGGCTGGGGCACGACAATCACTTGAACCCGGGAGGTGGAGGCGGAGGTTGCAGTGAGCCCAGATCGAGATCGTGCCACAGTGCACTCCAGCCTGACGACACAGCGAGAGTCCGTCTCAAAATGAAAAAAAAAAAAAAGAAGAAGAAGAAGTAGTTCATAGTATATTAGAGATAAGTGCTGTGGGAGAAGGAAATAGGAATGTCCTAGGGCTAAAGGGCTAACGCAGTTTTATGTAGGATTAGCAGGTCAGTTAAACTTGACATTTAACCAGAAATGTGGAGGTGAGGAAATCAGCCGTAGAGATGTCCGAGTGTAAGAATTCCAGGCAAAAGGGACACCCAATGCCTAGACCCTAAGAGTATCTGGGTTACTGGGGGACTTGCAAGGAGGCTCTTGAAGAAGAGCAAGCAGGGCAAGTAGGAGATGGGGAGGCTTGAATCGGGTAGGATCTCCCGTCATTACTTCTGTAGCTGGGTTTTTATTACGTAGAGGTTGCCATTAGAGGTTTTTTTGTTTTTGTTTTTGTTTTTTGTTTTTTGTTTTTTTGACGGAGTCTCGCTCTGTCACCCAGACTGGAGTGCAGTGGCGCAATCTTGGCTCACTGCAGCCTCTGCCTCCCGGGTTCAAGTGATTCTCCTGCCTCAGCCTCCCTAGTATCTGGGACTACAGGCGTGTGCCACCACACTTGGCTAATTTTTGTGTTTTTAGTAGAGATGGGGTTTTGCCATGTTGGCCAGGCTGGTATTGAATTCCTGACCTCAAGTGATCCACCCGCCTCGGCCTCCCAAAGTGTTAGAATTATAGGCGTGAGCCACCGCGCCCGGCGAGGAATTTTATTTAAAATGTGCAGTAAAGATGAGCGTGTGTGAGTTAAGACAGAAAAATGAGCCTAATTCTTTTTTTCTTTTGGGACTAGAAACTTATTTTTAAACTGGCTGTAAGGCTCTGAGAAATTACGTAGTCCTTCCTGAAACCACTAAGAGGAAAAATGGTAAGTTTTGAACAATTTTTATGAAATGTCTTTCATTGTAAGTTTTAGAAATTCAGTCAAGGGCAATAAAAGTGCATGGAAATTGCAGTGGCAAGATAGAGAAATTGTATACCATTATTCCACTTAATATGGAATAATTCCTTTAAAAAATACACAAAATTACTTTAAAATTCTTTAATGTTGTCACTTAAAATGCACAGAATTTAGTTTCGCTCTTGTTGCCCAGGCTGGAGTGCAGTGGCGTAATCTCGGCTCACTGCAGCCTCTGCCCCCTGGGTTAAAGTGATTCTCCTGCCTCAGCCTCCCAAGTAGCTGAGATTACAGGCACCTGCCAGCCCGCCCAGCTAATTTTTTGTATTTTTAGTAGAGACGGGGTTTCGCCATGTTGGGCAAGCTGGTCTCGAACTCCTGACCTCAAATGATCTGCCCACCTTGGCCTCCCAAAATGTTGGGATTACAGGCGTGAGCCACCACGCCCGGCCAGAATTTACCTTTTATGGAGAAAGGCTGATTACAAGATAGATAGAAATGGAAAGGGAGAGTTGAAGGAGCAGAAGAGAATAGACAGGTCTGACAATTTTAATTGGATTATTTTGCTCTAGATCTAAAGTGGGCAACTAAGCTGGGCGCAGTGGCTCACACCTGTGATCCCAGCACTTTGGGAGGCTGAGAACCCTGTCTCTACTTTAAAAAAATAAAATAAAGTGGGCAACTAGACCCTGAAGTAGAAAAAGCAATGAGAATAGTGCCCTGCTTCTCCCTCACACATCTTTAACCTGGTCATATTCTTTAACTGCTACATACTATTTAAGAAGAAGAAGGCTGGGCGCAGTGGCTCACACCTGTAATCCCAGCACTTTGGGAGGCATAGGCAGGTGGATCACTTGAGGTCAGAATTTCGAGACCAGCCTGGCCAACATGGTGAAACCCTGTCTCTACTAAAAATACAAAAATTAGCTGGGTGTTGTGGCATATGCCAGTAATCCCAGCTACTTGGGAGGCTGAGGCAAGAGAATTGCTTGAACCCAGGAGGTTGAAATTGTAGTGAGCAGAGATCACGCCACTGCACTCCAGCATGGGCGACAGAGCAAGACTCCATCTCAAAAAAAAAAAAAAAAAAAAAAATGGAGAAATGAAAAAGGAACCCTCCAAATTGTTTTCTCCCTCTCTGGAATACAGTATTATATCAAGGGGTATACAGGTTACAGAAAAACAGGTACAATAAAAACAAAAAGCAAGCAAGAAAGCACTGTGGTTATCTCTGAGCATTTAGGATTTTAGAAACACTGACACTTGTTATATTTTTGTTAGTCGAGAAAGGAATTATTTTTTAACCTTATTTCTCAGAATTAAATTACCTGAGGAAAATGGTGGAAATTATGTTTTGAAAGATCATTTTCTCATCATTTTTCTATAAATAAGGATGTTGGTGAATTGCCATGTACATCAATAATACATAACAATTGTTTTTATTTTTCTTGATAAAATTCAAAGTTAAAATCTTTCCATCAAAATATTTACTTCCAAATTTTTATCATGGATACTACTTAACCCTAACATTTATATTCTGGAGTTTTTCCTCTATGTTGAGATCAATTTTGAGGAAAAAGTACAATTTAGCTCTAAGAGCTGCTTTGTGGACGAGTCATCTCTGAAGCAGTATTTCTGTCTGTTTTTATTCAGATTATCATCTTGAATATCCACATAGGGAAATAAACAATGCATAAAGTCACCTAAAGAAATTTCATTTGTTCTTACATTTTCTCTCCTTTTTAGTCTGTGACACTGCATACAGATGTAGGTGATATTAAAATTGAAGTCTTCTGTGAGAGGACACCCAAAACATGTGAGGTAAGTACCATTTACATATTCAACTTCAGTTAATACAACAAGATAACCACTTTGGAATTGAATAACCTAAATAACAACAACAAAACTTTCTGTAAAACCATTGTTAAGGAAAACCAGCCATCATAACTTCTGGCCTGATTTCCACTTGTTTGTTCAATGTCAAATGTGGATCAAAGAGAAGGTAGATAATTTTTCAGTAATGATAGAGTAGCCAGTATCTTTTTCTTTTGACTGATTTTCCTCGGGAAACATAATCATTAGGACATTATATTACTTTTTTTCTTTCTTTATTTTTTATTTATTTATTTATTTTTTTGAGACAAAGTCTTGCTGTGTCCCCCAGGCTGGAGTACAATGGTGCGATCTCGGCTCACTGCAACCTCTGCCTCCCGGGTTCAAGCAATTCTTCTGCCTCAGCCTCCCAAGTAAGTGGGATTACAGGCGTGCACCACCATGCCTGGCTAATTTTTGTATTTTTAGTAGAGACAGGATTTCACCATGTTGGCCAGGCTGGTCTCAAACTTCTGACCTCAGGTGATCCATGCACCTCAGCCTCCTAAAGTGCTGGGATTACAGGCATGAGCCACCGCACCCGGCCTTTTTTCTTTTTTTTCAAGACAGAGTCTTGCTCTGTCGCCCAGGCTGGAGTACAGTGGCATGATCTTGGCTCACTGTAACCTCCGCCTCTGGAGTTCAAACAATTCTCCTGCCTCAGCCTCCCAAGTGCCTGTGATTACAGGCACCCACCACCATGCCCAGCTAATTTTTGTATTTTTTTAGTAGAGACGGGGTTTCACCATGTTGACCAGACTGGTCTCAAACTTCTGACCTCAGGTAATCTGCCTGCCTCAGCTTCCCAAAGTGCTGGGATTATAGGCATGAGCCTCTGTGCCCAGCAGAATATTATATTAAAGAATTGTTGTATATATATATATATTTTTTGAGACAGGGTCTTGCTGTGTCACCCAGACTGGAATGCAGTGGTGCAATCACGGCTCATTGCAGCCTCAACCTCCTGGTCTCAAGCAATCCTCCCACCTTGGCCTCCCAAGTAGATAGGACTACAGGTGTGTGCCACCATGCCAGGCTAATTTTTTTTAATTTTTTATAGAGATGAGGTCTCACTATGTTGCCCAAGCTAGTCTCGAACTCCTGATCTCCAGCCATCCTCCCCACCTCAGCTTCCTGAAGCGTTGGGCTTACAGGCGTGAGCCACCATGCCTAACCTGTTCTATACATTATTTTGCCTGTTTTTATTTATTGATTTATTGATTTATTGATTTATTTTTGAGACAGAGTTCTGCTCTTGTTGCCCAGGCTGGAGTGCAGTGGCACAGTCTCGGGCCACTGCAACCTCTGCCTCCCAGGTCCAAGGATTTTCCTGCCTCATCCTCCTGAGTAGCTGGGACTATAGGTGCCAGCCACCATGCCCGGCTAATTTTGTATTTTTAGTAGCAATTGGGTTTTACCATGTTGATCAGGCTGGTCTCAAACTCCTGAACTCAGGTGATCCACCCGTCTTGGCTGCCCAAAGTGCTGGGTTTACAGGCATGAGCCACCACGCCCGGCCTGTTTCACCTGTTTAAATGACAAGGATGGAAGGAAGAAGAGTCACCTGTATATATTCATTTATTCAACGATTATTTATGGCTGGGCATGGTGGCTCACATCTATAATTTCAGCACTTCGGGAGGCTAAGGTGAGCTCAGAAGTTCTAGACCTACCTAGGCAACACAGTGAGACCCCCATCTCTACAAAAAAATACAAAAATTAGCCAGGTATGGTGGTGTGAGCCTGTTATCCCAGCTACAAGGGAGGCCAAGGTGGGAGGATTGCTTAAGCCTAGGAGGTCAAGGCTATAGTGAGCTCTGATCACATGGCTACACTCCAGCCTATGTGACAGAGCAAGACCCTGTCTCAAAACAAAACAGAAAAACCATTATTTGTGAAAGGCTATCTTGCCCCAGAGTCTGGAGATACAGTGATGAGGAACAGACGTTCCTTACCCTCATGGAGCCAATATTTTAGTTGTGAAAATAAGCAGGGCAGGAAAATTAAGTAATTATATTTTTAAGAAATTATTTTTATTTATTTATTTATTTTAAAGATAGAGATGAGGTCTTACTATGTTGCCCAGGCTGGTCTTGAACTCCTGGACTCAGGTGATCTTCCCGCCTCCCAGAGTACTGGGATTACAGGTGTGAGCTGCTGTGCCTGGCCTAAAATTAAGTAATTCTAAAAGGCGATAATGCCTTGAAAAAAATTGAGTGTTAAGATAGAGATTAATGGGAAAGGAAGAAGGTGAGGGCAGACGTAGCCAATAAACTAATACTTAAACTAAATGCAAAGGTATGAGGGCATCGCTGGAAAGAGGTATAAAAATAATATTCCAGCTATTCAGATTCAGAAAAGGTTGTGAAATAAAATTTTAAAAAATTCCAAGGCCAGGCACAGTGGCTCACACCTGTAATTCCAACATTTTGGGTGGCTGAGGCAGGAGGATCATTTGAGCCCAGGAGTTCAAGACCAACCTGGGCAACATAGGGAGACATTGTCTCTACAAAAAAAAAAAAAAAAAAAAAAAAAAAAGAACATTCCAGGTATAGAAATATCAGGTATAAAGTCCCCCAGGTAAGAAAAGCTGCCCCTTTTGGATTAATTGTCAGAATGCTGATGGGGTTTAGGTAGTAAACAATAAGAAAGCAGTTCTTAGTATATGTGATGAGGAGATAAGCCAGGTACTGCAGGGCTTGTTAGGCCCTGCTGATGATTTTGTTTTGTTTTGTTTTGTTTTTGTCGCCCAGGCTGGAGTGCAGTGGTGTGATCTCGGCTCACTGCAACCTCCGCCTCCCGGGTTCACGCCATTCTCCTGCCTCAGCCTCCAGAGCAGCTGGGACTATAGGCACCCGCCACCAAACCCAGCTAATTTTTTTGTATTTTTAGTAGAGACGGGGTTTCACCGCAGCCAGGATGGTCTCGATCTTCTAACCTGGTAATCCACCCACCTTGGCCTCCCAAAGTGCTGGGATTACAGGAGTGAGCCACTATGCCCAGCCGAAGATTTTGTATTTTATTCCAAAAGGAGAAGGAAGCTATTGAAGTGTTCTAGGCAGGGAAATGACATCCAAAGTAATGCCAAAAGTCATAGTTTAAATATGCTGGTATCAGGTTTTCAGTAAATATGATTGGTTCTTTGTCTTAACTAGGTTTCTGCTGCATCATTTCTCAATCATTATTTTTACTCTCTTCAGAATTTCTTGGCTCTTTGTGCCAGTAATTACTACAATGGATGTATATTTCATAGGAATATCAAGGGTTTCATGGTTCAAACAGGAGATCCAACAGGTAAGTTATTCCATTAACTAAGATCTAAGGAACTGAACGTATAGTATGAAGAAGTGGGTAAAAGAAGAGGAATTAAAAACATGGAGTTTTTGTTTTGTTTTGTTTAATAAGTTCTGTTCTACAAGTGCAGAACATGTAGGTTTGTTATATAGGTATATGTGTGCTAAGGTGGTTTGCTGCACCTATCAGCCTGTCATCTAGGTTTTAAGCCCAGCATGCATTAGCTATTCGTCCTAATGCTCTCCTTCCCCTTGCTCCCCACCCCCAAACTAGCCCCGCTGTGTGTTGTTCCCCTCCTTGTGTCCATGTGTTCTCATTGATCAACTCCCACTTATGAGTGAGATCATGCAGTGTTTGGTTTTCTGTTCCCGTGTTAATTTGCTAAGAATGATGGCTTCCAGCTGCATCCATGTCCCTACGAAGGACATGATCTCATTCCTTTTTACGGCTGCATAGTATTCCATGGTGTAATTTTAAAGCAGAAATTATTAGCACCTACACCTAAAATATGAACAATATTGTGCTCACTTTGAACTAAAATTTGAACAATACCAAGAAGATTAGCGTGGCCCCTGCACAAGGATAAGACGCAAATTTGTGAAGCTTTTCATGCTGCAATATCTGTATGAATGATATTTACAAGAAGGGTTATTCTGTTTTGTTTTTTGTAGGTCTGTTTTAATCTTCAGGTCTGTGAAGTTAAATTTGGGGAATTAGGAGAGGCCATATCAAATTTTGTTTATATTTAAGCAGTCAAACTCTATTCCTTAAGTTTTGGGAAATGAACTTGTTATCAATTTTAATTAAATACTTCTTTCAATTTGCTTCTCTTGTAATATAGGAACTGGAAGAGGCGGCAGCAGTATATGGGGCAAGAAGTTTGAGGATGAATACAGTGAATATCTTAAGGTAAATCCTCAATGCTTTAAAAACCTATGTTTTGAAAATATTTTTGAAAAAAAATTTTTTTTTTTTTTTTGAGACGGAGTTTCACTCTTGTCGCCTAGGCTGGAGTGCAGTGGCATGATCTCGGCTCACTGCAACCTCCGCCTCCCAGGTTCAAGTGATTCTTCTGCCTCAGCCTCCCGAGTAGCTGGGATGACAGGCATATGCCACAACACCTGGCTAATTTTTTTTGTATTTTTAGTAGAGATGGGGTTTCACCATGTTGGTCAGACTGGTCTCGAACTCCTGACCTCAGGTGATCCGCCTGCCTTGGCCTCCCAAAGTGCTGGGATTACAGGTGTGAGCCACCACACCCGACCAAAAGTCTATTTTTTCATGCCTTGGTTATGCATGGAAACTTTGATACATGTGTTATAGTAATACAAGTTAACATCATTGCAAAACGAGTAGACTTTTTTATAGTTTTTGTACATTTGACAAATGATGTCGGGAGACTTGATAAATGGTGGTCCTAGCCTGACGTATAATGGAATCCCACTACCACATGGCTCTTGATATTGAGTTCATCTTTGAATCTAACCTGAAATGTTTAACTAGTAGTGTACCAAAGAGGCTTAATATCTCACCATAAAATTCATATTGAATGACATGAAACAGTGGCCTTTTTTGAGAGTGGGGAGGAAAGACTATCAAACTTCCTGGTTGCAATGTTGCCCATTATCAGTACCCAGCTTTTATCATCTTCTGTTAGATGTTTGAATATCCCTGTATTAATCTGACTTAATACCTGTGGTAGATTGCAACTAGGTTAAAGAGAAGTACATATAAATAGTCTTTACCATGGTAAAATTAGGGATTTTTAATTTTCTTTGTTATATTTTTGTGTGTTTTTCAAACCTCTGTGGAGTCTTTTTTTTTTTTTTTTTTTGGTCTAAAATAAAAAACTAGTGCATGCCTAGTTTTAAAAATCAATTCCACTTCCCAGAGATGCCTTCAGCTGATGACTTATTATGTGGTCTTTCAAACTTTGTATCTCCAAAGAATGACAACTTTACAACTAGAAAAAGAGCAATGAAGTATCCTCAATCAGGGCTGGGTACAGTAATCCCAGCACTTTGAGAGGCCCAGTAAGGAGGATTACTTGGGGCCAAGAGTTTGAAACCAGCCAGTGCAACATAGTGAGACCTCCATCTCTACAAAAAAATACAAATATTAGCCTGTTGTAATGGCATGTGCCTGCAGTCCCAGCTACTCAAGAGGCTGAGGTGTGGGGATTGCTTGAGCCCAGGAGATGAAGGCTGCAGTGAGCCAAGATCATGCACAGAACAAGACCCCATCTCAAAAAAAAAAAAAAAAAAAAAAAGGTCTGTTCAATCAAAATATGCAGCTTAAGTGTATTATTATATTTATATTACATTAAAATGTACCCACAAAAATTCTGAAAAAAAAATTCATTGCAGTGTTTATCTCTGGATGATGAGACTAGGAATAATTTCTTTTTGTTTTGCTTTTTTTAAAACCTTTTTTTAGAGGCAGTGTCTTACTCTGTCCCCCAGGCTGGAGTGTAGTGATGCAGTCTTGGCTCACTGCAGCCTAAATTTTCTGGGCTCGGATGATCCTCCCACCTCAGCCCCCAGAATAGCTGGGACTACAGGTGCATGCCACCATGCCCAGCTAATGTTTGTATTTTTTGTACAGATGGTGTCTCACTATGTTGCCCAAGCTGGTTTCTTTTACTTTTCTATTGTAAGGAAATTAATATTAGTTTTGTTACAGGAGTTGAGGCTGGGAGGTGATAAACTTTTTGAAAAGTCAACTTTTTCCTGAATGAATAACTAAACAATTTTTTAGGTATTAGTTACTACATTAATGACTGCTTCCATATACCAGTTGAAAACCAGAGACTGGCTATGACAGAATCACCTGTGAAACTTTGTTGTTTGTTTTTGAGACTGGGTCTCACTCTGTTGCCTAAGCTGAGTGCAGTGGCCTGATCACGGTTCACTGCAGCCTTGACCTCCTGAGCTCAAGCAGTTTCTCCTGCCTCAGCCTCTCAAGTAGCTGGACCACATGAGTGCACCACCATGCCCAGCTAATTTCTGATTTTTTTGTAGAGATGAGGTCTCGCTCTGTTGCCCAGTCTGGTCTGAAACTCCTGAACTCAGATGATCCTCCTGTCTTGGCCTCCCAAACTGTTGGGATTCCAGGAATGAGCCACTGCAATTGGCTGGAAGTTTTAAAACTATAACAGATCACGGCCTTGCCCTCCTAAAAATAAACAGTCAGTAGGGCTGGTTAGGACTGAGACTATATTTTAAGGTTCCTAGATGATTCTTTTGCAGGCAGAGTTAACGACCATTACACGCCTGGTGCAGTGGCTCGCCTGTAATCCCAGCACTTTGGGAGGCTGAGGTGGGCAGATCACGAGGTCAGGAATCAAGACCATCTTGGCTAACACAGTGAAACCCCATCTCTAGCAAAAAATACAAAAAATTAGCCGGACGTGGTGGCGGGTGCCTGTAGTCCCAGCTACTTGGGAGGCTGAGGCAGGAGAATGGCATGAACCCGAGAGGCAACGCTTGCAGTGAGCCGAGATCGTGCTACTTGCACTCCAGCCTGGGCGACAGACCGAGAATCTGTCTAAAAAAAAAAAAAGAACCATTATGTATTATACACCTTATACACCAAGGTTATGGATATGTATTGACTGTTCATATCTTCTGACCCAGGAATCCATTCCCAAATGTTTACTCAAGGGAAACTTGTAAGTATGCACCAAGAGACGTGTAAAGGAGTGTTCTGATATAGTGTTTGTAACAGCAAAAGTCTAGAAACAACCCAAATGTCCCTTGATTGTAGATAAATCACAATGTAGATTGTGGATAAATGCCAGTACATTCATCAGTGAAATATCAGTAAAAAATCAGTAATAAACTATGGCTATGTGTACATGTATGACCTTAGAACTGTAACAGTGTTATTTGTAGAGAGCATTTCCCAGAAGACTAAAATGTTAGGATGTAATTATATTCAGAAGGAAAAGGAAAGAATGTGTTGTTTAGGCATGTGTAGTGTGTTAGGGCTGGGCACAGTGGTTCACTCCTATAATCCCAGCACTTTAGGGGGCCCAGGTGAGAGGACCACTTGAGGCCAGGAGCTTGAGATCAGCCTGGGCAACATATTGAGCCCTTGTCTCTACTAAAAGTCAAAAAATTAGCCAGGTATGGTGGTGTACATCTGTAGTCTCAGCTACTCAGGAGGCTAAGGTAGAAGGATTGCTTGAGCCTAGGAGGTCAAGGCTACAGTGAGCTGTGATTGCACCACTGTACTCTAACCTGGGTGACAGAGCGAGACCCTGTCTCTAAAAAAAAAAAAAGAAAAAATGAAAAAAAAAGTATTAGAATAGTGGTTACCTCTTATAGAGGCTGAGGTAATAGATGGAGAGGAGCACATAGATATATGTAATTAATTGGTAACTTTTATTTTTTCTTGAGCTCCCATTATCCAATGAATTGGTAAATTTTAACTCTGAAAGCTGGGAAATATGTTAATGGGTGCTTATTTTATTAACTTATATTTTTATTAACTATATCTTTGTGTATGTGTTAAGTATTACATGTGTATGTATTAAATATTACATGTATATGTATTAAATATTACATTTGATTGGTAAACACCTTTTAGGGAAACAAGCATTAATATTTTTATATAGGTGCATCTCTACGACTTACTAGCGTCACCCAATGAATAGCTAAAGCTAGAGTAATTGGTGGAGTTACTTGTAGTGTATTACAGGCACCTCCCTGTAACATAGTTCACAGTTATATCTTCATTCTTATCAGTAAGGTCCTTTTAATTTCTCTACACAGTCTCTGGTAAACAAATATGATAGTAGAGCTAGGTGAGACCTTTCTTAGATTGTTCAGTCCTGGGGTTATAAACTGACTGCCCGTGAGTGGAACACCCACAGATGCATTTTCTATGGCCCATTAGTTAAAAAAATATATATTTAATGCCATTAGTTAAGAGATAGCCTATTCATTTTGCCAGACTTCATCTCTCTTTAATGTTTACATTCTTCCCAATTGTCAGTTTATCTGCTTGACCCTTGTGAGCATCTGAATTATGAATAGACCCTTGAACTAGTCCAGCCTCCCTTGTTTTACAGATAAAGAAACTAGCAAGAGTCCATTATATGTGAGAAGAGATTGTGGGCAAATTGGTTTTGTTGCCTACCTGATCGTTTCATTCCAGCACACTATTCCTTAATATAAATGTAAGGATTATTTATATTATTTGTTGGTGTTGCAAAAAGCATCCATGGCTGTATTTCTTCAAAGTGAAAATGAAATTAATTGAGAAATATGATTTGATATATTAACCTTTTACATACAAGTTTTCAAGTATACAGAAAAAGCAGAAACTGAACATTTGGATTACCCCTAATAAAAGTTGGTTAAATGTTTTCTTGCTCCTTTTTTTTTTTTTTTTTTTTTTTTTTTTTGAGACGGAGTCTCACTCTGTCGCCCAGGCTGGAGTGCAGTGGCCGGATCTCAGCTCACTGCAAGCTCCGCCTCCCAGGTTCACGCCATTCTCCTGCCTCAGCCTCCTGAGTAGCTGGGACTACAGGCGCCCGCCGCCTCGCCCGGCTAGTTTTTTGTATTTTTTAGTAGAGATGGGGTTTCACCGGGTTAGCCAGGATGGTCTCGATCTCCTGACCTCGTGATCCGCCCGTCTCGGCCTCCCAAAGTGCTGGGATTACAGGCTTGAGCCACCGCGCCCGGCCGACTCTTGCTCCCTTAAATATTGTGAAGGCAAAGAGTGAATGTCTTGGCTGGAGTGGTGATGCACACCTGTAATCCCAACATTCTGGAAGCTAAGGCAGGCGGATCACTTGAGCCTAGGAGTTAAGAGACCAGCCTGAGCAACATAGTGAGACCCCCATCTCAAAATATTTTTAAAAAAGAAAACAAAGGTGTGCCTGTCTGCTTTCAATACTATATTTGGGATGGTTATAGAAAAGCACAATTAATACTTTGATGTGTCTTTTTCAGCACAGTGTTAGAGGTGTTGTATCTATGGCTAATAATGGCCCGAACACCAATGGATCTCAGTTCTTCATCACCTATGGCAAACAGCCACATTTGGACATGAAATACACCGTATTTGGGAAGTGAGTATTCTAGTTATGGTTTTCTTTTAGCATTTCAATGCAGGTGCATATGCTCAGCTGTGATAGTAGCATAACTAATATTGAAAAGAGTGACGCAGAGTGCAATGTCTCACACCTGTAATCCCAGCACTTTGGGAGGCCAAGGTGGGCAGATTGTCTGAGGTCAGGAGTTCGAGACCAGCCTGGCCAATGTGGCGAAACTCTGTCTCTACTAAAAATATTTTTAAAAAATTAGTCGGGTATGGTGGCACACACCTGTAGCCCAGCTACTCAGGAGGCTGAGGCAGGAGAATTGCTTGAACCTGGGAGGCGGAAATTATAGTAAGCCATGATCATGCCGTGGCACTCCAGCCTGAGCGACAGAGTAAGACTGCCTCAAAAAAAAAAAAAAAAGAAAAAGAAAAGAAAAAAAAGAAGAGTGGTGTGAGAGTGTGAGATCTAAATGTACCTGGAGTTTAAGTCTACTGCTTAGCAACCCTGTGGCCTTGGGAAAGTTATAATCTCTCTGAGCCTTATTTTCCTTATGTTTATAAAAGAGGCCAGTAATTTTTTCAACATTGTTACGCAAATTAACATAGTATATCTATTTTCTTTTTCTTTTTCTTTTTGAGATGAAAGGCTCTGTTGCCAGGCTGGAGTGGTGCAGTAGCACAATCATGGCTCATTGCAGCCTCAACCTCCCGGTCTCAAGTGATCCTCCCACCTTAGCCTCCTTAGTAACTGGAACCACAAATGTGTACCATCATGCACAGCTACTTTAAAAAAAAAACAAAAAAAAACCCACTTTTTTTGTAGAGACAGGATCTCACTGTGTTGCCCAGGCTGGTCTATTTTCATTAATAATAGCACTTCACAGCAACTAACAGATCTGAAAAATAGTGGCTTAAACAAGATGGACTAGCATGGTGGTTCCATTTTGTTACCAGTGTTCTAGTCTCCTCTGTCATAATATTGGCAGCACAGCTCTTATCAAAACTTCCGTGTATCAGGCAGGAAAGAGGAGGAAAGACAAAAGGTGCTTGCCAGCTGATTCAGCTTTTTTAATTAACAGAACTTTCCCAGGCCTGTAATCCCAGTGCTTTGGGAGGCTGAGACAGGAGGATCACTTGAGGTCAGAGTTCAAGACCAGCCTGTGCAACGTAATGAGTTTAAAAATTAGCCAGGTGTGGTGACAGACAACTGTAATCCCAACTACTCAGGAGGCTGAGGTGGGAGAATCACTGGAGCCCAGGAATTTAAGGCTGCATGAGCTGAGATCACACCACTGTACTCCAGCCTGGGCAACAGAATGATACCCTATCTCTAAAAAAAAAAAAAAAAAAAAAAAAAACCAGTACAGTGGCTCACGCCTGTAATCCCAGCACTTTGGGAGGCCAAGGAGGGTGGATCATGAGGTCAGGAGATCAAGACCATCCTGGCCAACATGGTGAAACTCCGTCTCTACTAAAAATACAAAAATTAACTGGGTGCGGTGGCATGCGCCTATAATCCCAGCTACTCAGGAAGCTGAGGCAGGAGAATGGCTTGCACGCCGGAGGCGGAGATTGCAGTGAGCCAAGATTGCGCCACTGCACTCCAGCCTGGTGACAGAGTGAGACTCTGTCTCCAAAAAAAAAAAAAAAAAAAAAAAAGAACTTTCCCAGAAGACCCAGAACTTAGTAATGTGACCACTCCTTACCTACAGTGGAGGGTAGAAAATGTATTTCAGCCACATTGCCACCCTGACTAAAATTAGATTTCTTTGAGTAAGAAGAATGGCTCCTAGGAAGGTGTTTTGCAGTTTCTGCCAGGGTATCTGTTAAAAGTACTATATATGGGAGTTCCTTTTATAAATCAGTGGGAAGTCAATTTGTCTGTTCATTCAACAAATAATTATCCTGCTTAATAAACCAAGGCACAATTCTAGAGTTTGTTCTATTTAATAGTTTGGATGCCAAGTTAGGTTAATTAAAAATAGAGGACTCCCAGCCTAGGCAACATAGCGAAACCCAGTCTCCACAAAAAAGTTTAAAAATTATCCAGGTGTGGTGGCTCACACCTATGTTCCCAGCTACTTGGGAGGCTGAAGTGGGAGGATTGCTTGAGCTCAGGGAGTCAAGGCTGCAGTGAGATCTAGACAGATCTTTTCTTTTTCATTCCATATACATGTGTCTAATTTACACAATAATAATCAAGGAAAAAAATATTACAACACCTAGTAGTTTTTTTTGTTTGTAAATAACCCAGTTTCCCTCTTATTTTATCCCTTAACCCATCATTCAAAATTATTGTTCAGTTATTACCAGGACTCATTTTACTGGATTTGTGACAAAACTGTAGAGTTTAGAACAAAGATTAACCTTAGGTTCATTAATTCCTTGTTTGTTGTATACAGATACACACAGATTTTTCTGGGAAGATGATCCAGTAACTTTCCTCTAGTTCTCCAAGGGGTCTGTTTCCCAGATACTTGACTCTACTTAAACTGCCTCAGTTCTACCTGCCGGGTTTTTTTAACTTTTTACCTGAAACCTATGTTTTCTATATTCTCTGTTTCTCTTACTGACCCAGAAGGTGAGAAAGCCTTTAAGACTTATAATTTAAAGACTTAAATGTCTACATTTAGGGGTAAAATCAAAATGTTTTGGTTGAAGTGCCCTTTTTGTGAAAATGCAAGATAAAATGCGAATCTGTTAATTTTTTTTTTTTTTTTTTTTGAGACAGAGTCTTGCTCTGTCGTCCAGGCTGGAGTGCAGTGGTGTGATCTTGGCTCACTGCAAGCTCCATCTCCTGGGTTCACGCCATTCTCCTGCCTCAGCCTTCCAAGTAGCTGGGACTACAGGGGCCCACCACCACGCCTGGCTAATTTTTATTATTATATTTTTAGTAGAGACGGAGTTTCACCGTGTTAGCCAGGATGGTCTCAATCTCCTGACCTTGTGATCCACCCGCCTTGGCCTCCCAAAGTGCTAGGATTACAGGCGTGAGCAACCGCGCCCGGCCGAAAGCCACTCTTTCTTAGTAAATGTTTTAGACTGAAATTTCCAAAACTTGTATTTGAAGAATAGCTCTCAATATATTTTTTCTTGGTGGTAACATGAAGTGGGATTGCTAGAGGCTGAGTTAACAGTTAATCTTCTCTTCTCCTATTTTTATTACTTCTTATTGTTACCCAGAAGCAAAAAGTAGAAATATCATAATTAGGCCAGGCACGGTGGCTCATGCTTATAACCCCAGCACTTTGGGAGGCTGAAGTGAGCAGATCACTTGAGGTCAAGAGTTTGAGACCACCCTGGCCAACGTGGTGAAATCCCATCTCTACTAAAAATACAAAAATTAGCTGGGCATGGGGGCATGTGCCTGTAGTGCCAACTGCTTGGGAGGCTGATGCAGAATTGCTCGAACCTGGAGGAAGAGGCTACAATGAGTCGAGATAGTACCACTGCACTCCAATCTGGGCAAGGGGAGTGGGACTCCGTCTCCGGAAAAAAAAAGAAAGAAATACTATAAATAAACAATTAACTGCCGGGCGTGGTGGCTCACGCCTATAATCCCAACACTTTGGGAGGCCAAGGTGGGCGGATCACCTGAGGTCAGGAGCTCAAGACCAGCCTGGCCAACATGCTGAAACCCCATCTCTACTAGAAATACAAAAATTAGCCGGGCATGCTGGCAGGCTCCTGTAATCCCAGCTACTCAGGAGGCTTAGGCAGGAGAATCGCTTGAAACCGGGAGGCGGAGGTTGCAGTGAGCCGAGATCGCGCCATTGCACTCCAGTCTGGGGTACAAGAGTAAGACTTCGTCTCACAAAAAATAAAAAATAAAAACAAAAACAAGTACAAAGTGGAGTGGTCACCTACTTCAGGACTCTCATTGTAGGGCAATATTGATAATAGTGTCATCTACTAGCTTTCTCCAGCTATTTCCTGTAACACAGAAATCTTTATGACTAGTGTGTTGTAATAAGAAATACATATTTAGACTTCATCCCTTGTTTCTAGCATGGTTCTTTTAAAAACCTTGCAATTTCCTGAGTGACAGGAGTGAAAGGAATATTTTATTGTTCATAATAAGCCCCATTCAACCATACCTGAGTTTATGCTAATGAGGTGACTCTTGGTGGGGTTCTGGATAGCTTCAGAATGGAGGGCTGGTTGCCAGAGGAATCAGCCATGTATTTTTAGAGGGCTGGAACATTCAGTGACCTCCTATTCTTGACCTCTGGGAAGGAGACAAGGGCTGGTGATTGAGTTCCAGTCACCAGTGGTCAGTGATTTAATTAATCGTGCCTACCTAATGTGCCCTCCGTAAAAACCCTAAACAGGGTTTCAGAGCTTCTAGGTTGGTGAACACAAGTAGATACTGAGAGGGTAACACACCCTGAGAAGAGCATGGAAGCACTGTGCCCCCCTCTCAGACTTTGCCCTATGCATCTCCTCCATTTGGTTGTTCCTGAGTTGTAACCTGTGTAACAGCTGATAATAAATAAAGTGCTTTCCTAAGTTCTATGAGCCATTTTAGAAAATCATTGAACAGAGCCGGGGGGGCATGAAAAATCCCAAAGCATATCTGGTTAGTCAGATAGTACAGATCACAACTGGGACTTGGAACTGGCATCCGAAGTAGTAGGGGCTGTCTTGTGGGATTAACCGGCATCTCTGTTCACTCTTTGTAGTTAGTATCACAATTAAATTGTAGGGCCAGGTGTGGGGGCATGCACTTGTAGTCCCAGTGAGACCCTGTCTTTAAAAAAATAAATAAAATTTTGAAAAAATAATTAAGTTGTGGGATACCCAGAGAATTGGAGAATTGGGAAAACCCACACATTTGGTGTTGGAAGTGTGAAAGTGTAGAAAAACAGTTTGTTTTCCCTTTCACTGGTTATATTAGTCCCATTGGTAGCTGTTCTGTGTCAGTGTATGAATGGGGTAGAATATACTTTTAGGTACTATGGTGGAAATATTCCTACCTTTTGTATTGTTAATTTAAGGGCATAAAAGTAAATTATTTCTGAATTTTGATCCGTATCTATGATGGAAAATCAATATTTTGTTGTACATTCAACTAGAGAATTCAGAGATCTGTAAGACTTGATTTCTTTTAAGGAGACTGTAATTGTCATAGATATGGATATCATGTTTCAATTTAAGGAAATTTTCATATGTTATATTGTTTCTCTTTCAGGGTAATAGATGGTCTGGAAACTCTAGATGAGTTGGAGAAGTTGCCAGTAAATGAGAAGACTTATCGACCTCTTAATGATGTACACATTAAGGACATAACTATTCATGCCAACCCATTTGCTCAGTAGCTGTAATAGACCTGGACAAATAACTTGACAAATTGCTGGAACACACTTATTGTGGTTTACCCTGTTTTAATTATGTACCTCCTGAATCTAAAAATTTTTTAGAGATTCATCTCTAAATTTTTCAGAGATTACATCATCCTTCTGCTTGTTTACAACTATGATCTTCTACGAAATGATGATACCAAGGGGCACCCAACAGCTTTTATCCCCATTCTTAGAGCATAGTCTTTATTATAACCATTATCCAACATATTTCTTTAATTTTAATACAAAAAATACATCATTTAATTTTTGTTACATATAAACATTCATTTTTAAATGCTGAGCCTCAAGTGCAGGCATTTTTTAGCGGCCTGATTATGTATTCCTACCAGAGCAAGTCCATATCCTGGAAGTGTTACTTTATAATAAAATTAAAAATGTTTTAAGGAATTAAACTGGAGGACAAATTAATTTAAAGTATTGTGTAAAATTACCTTCAGGCTATAAGGTATATATGAAACGTAAATGAACTTCATGTTTAAATTTGGGTCTCATCTCCAAGATATCTTATTATGTATATGCAAGTATCCCCAAATCTGAAAATTTGGGTATTCCTGAAACTGATACCAATGGTAAGAGCTCTGCCATTAATTATTCACTAGATACAGTTAGAAAGAGGAGGGACAGGATAAAAAGTTAGTCTGGAAAGGCCAGCCAATTCATTTGCTATTTTCTGTGATTTTTTTTTTTTTTTCCTTTTTGAGACGGAGTCTGCTCTTTTACCTAGGCTGGAGTGCAGTGGTGCAGTCTCGCTCACTGCAACACCTGCCTCCCAGGTTCAAGTGATTCTCCTGCCTCAGCCTCCCAAGTAGCTGGGACTACAGGTGCACGCCACCACACCCAGCTACTTTTTGTATTTTTTTTCAGTAGAGACAGGGTTTACAGAGACCATTTTGGCCAGGAAGGTCTTGATCTCTTGACCTTGTGATCTGCCCACCTTGGCCTCCCAAAGTGCTGGGATTACAGGTGTGATCTTTGGGTTTACAGTAAAGGCTCTAAGAAGTCCTGGATGCCGAGTGCGGTGGCTGACACCTGTAATCCCAACACTTTGGGAGGCCAAGATGGGTGGATCACAAGGTCGAGAGATCAAGACCATCCTGGCTAACACGGTGAAACCCTGTCTCTACTGAAAATATAAAAAATTAGCTGGGCGTGGTGGTGGGCGCCTGTAATCCCAGCTACTTGGGAGGCTGAGGCAGGAGAATCGCTTGAACCTGGGATGCAGAGGTTGCAGTGAGCTGAGATCGAGCCATTGCACTCTAGCCTGGGCGACAGTGCGAGACTGCATCTCAAAAAAAAAAAAAAAAAAAAGACGTCTTGGAATACTGTAAACAACATTTCCCAACTGATTTGCTTATAGACTTTTTTTTTTCTTTTTTTTGAGACATAGTCTCACTCTTGTCACTCAGGCTGGAGTGCAATGGCACAATCTCGGCTCGCTGCAACCTCCGCCTCCTGGGCTCAAGTGATTCTCCTGTGTCAGCCTCCCGAATAACTGGGATTACAGGCACCCACCACCATGCCCAGCTATTGTTTTTTTGTATTTTTAGTAGAGATGGGGTTTCACCATGTCAGCCAGGCTGGTTGCGAACTCCTGACCTCAGGTGATCCATCCACCTCGGCCTCCCAAAGTGCTGGGATTACAGGTGTGAGCCACCACACCTGGCCTGCTTATGGACATGTTTTAAGGCATATCTTTTTAAAAAAATTTTAGATTCAGGAGATACATATGCAGCTTTATTACAAGTGTATAATGCATGGTGCTGAGGTTTGGGCTTCTACTGATCCTGTCACCCAGATAGTGAACACAGTACCCAAAAGCAAGCTTTTCAGCCTTTGCCCCTGCCCCTTCCTCCTTTTTGGAGTCCCCAGTGTCGCTGTTCCCATCTTTTTGTCCATGTGAATCCAAGATTTAGTTCCCATTTACTGTAACTGAATGCAGGCTTGGCTGCACACCACTTGCAAAGTCAATAACAAGGAGGAGATGCAGTAAAAGGAAAGTGACTTTATTCCAGAGCTATTAATGGGGAAATGGCCAAAGCTGGTACCTTAAATAAATCATTTTGAACTTTAGGCTGGGGAGAGGGGCTTAAAAAGGGAACTTAGAATGGGAGGCATGCGGGAGTGGTACAGGGTTTCAGGTCTCTGTGGCTTGCTCTGGTGGCTATCTTGAGTTGTGGTCCACCTGGAGTGGGGGCTGGCATCATCTCAACAATGGCTGGGTTGTTGACTAACCACCTTAAGGTAATCTCTGGAATTTTGCAGCTGGGTCTCCAAGCCTGGTATATGTCACGATTAGCCCTTGATGGGCCAGGCACAGTGGCTCACACCTATAATCGCAGTAGTTTGGGAGGCCAAGGTGGGAGGATCACCTGAGCCCAGGAGTTTGAGACCGGCCTGGGCAACACAGTGAGACCTTGAATCTACTAAAAGTTGAAAAAAAAAAAAAAAATATATATATATATATATATATATAGCCAGATGTGGTGGCACAGTGTGTTATAGCCCCAGCTACTGAGAAGGCTGAGGTGGGAGGATTGCTTGAGCTAGGGAAATAGAGACTGCAGTGATCCATGGAGTGGCCAGACTCCAGCCTGGGCAACAGAGTCAAGACCCTATACATGAGTGTATAGTGTAAGTTTAACAAGCATGCAGTTAGATAAATGTGCATAGTATAAGGGAGTGTGAGGCGGGCAAGGGAGGGAAATGGTTTTAACAAGACTACATTCTGAAATTAAGAAGGAAAGGGCCAGGCATGGTGGCTCACGCCTGTAATCCCAGCACTTTGGGAGGCTGAGGCAGGCGGATCAGGAGGTCAAGAGATCAAGACCATCCTGGCCAACATGGTGGAACCCCGTCTCTATTAAAAATACAAAAATTAGCTGGGCGTGGTGGCACACACCTGTAGTCCCAGCTACTTGGGAGGCTGAGGCAAGAGAATTGATTGAACCCGGAAGGTGGAGGTCGCAGTGAGCCAAGATTGCACCACTGCACTCCAGCATGGAAACAGAGTAAGACTTCATCTCAAAAAAAAAAAACAAGAAAAAAAAAAAACTGGCCGGGCAGGGTGGCTCAAGCCTGTAATCCCAGCGCTTTGGGAGGCCGAGGCGGGCGGATCACAAGGTCAGGAGATTGAGACCATCCTGGCTAACACCGTGAAACCCCATCTCTACTAAAAAAAAATACAAAAAACTAGCCGGGCGTGGTGGGGGGCGCCTGTAGTCCCAGCTACTTGGGAGGCTGAGGCAGGAGAATGGCGTGAACCCCGGGGGCTGAGCTTGCAGTGAGCCGAGATCGCGCCACTGCACTCCAGCCTGGGGCACAGAGCAAGACTCCGTCTCAAAAAAAAAAAAAAAACTTTAAAATGCATTTCAAGGCTAGGATACTTGGTTGTATTACAAGTAAGAACATAAGGCATATCTTTGAAAATGTTGAAGCGTGGAGCTTTACAGAAGATCCGTTTGAAAAATGCAGTGAACTAGTTAAAGGCACCAGTTTGTGGAGTTCTGGTCTGTGTTTGAATCACAGCTGTGCCCCTTACTGTGTAACTTTAGGCAAGTTAACATCTCCAAGCTTTAGTATTCTCATCCATAAATAATACCTCATAAGACAATTGTGAGGGTTAAATGGGTATAAAGCTGCTGGCATGTAGTAAGTAAGTGGAAGCTGCTCTCCTAACATTCATGTCCACCACAGGGCTCTCACCTCATCAAGCCATTCATTGGGTTCTACCATTGATTTCATCAAGACCATATTCTGCTCACTGCCTAGATCACAGTGGTTGGATTTGGGTGTTCCTAAAACTTACACCAGCCGAGCGCAGCGGCTCACGCCTGTAATTCCAGCCCTTTGGGAGGCCAAGGCAGACAGATCACCTGAGGTTGGGAGTTCGAGACAGCCTGACCAACATGCAGAAAACCTGTCTCTATTAAAAATACAAAATTAGCCAGGCGTGGTGGTACATGCCTGTAATCGCAGCTACTCGGGAGGCTGAGGCAGGAGAACTGCTTGAACCTGGGAGGCAGAGGTTGCAGTGAGCTGAGATCGAGCTGAGATCATGCCATTGGACTCCAGCCTGGACGACAAGAGCAAAACTCCGTCTCAAAATGTTTCTCTTGGCATCAGTTCTTGGTTTGTCTCATTTCTTCCAATGGCTGGTCTAATTAATGTTTTGATTCTTTCTTGACTAGTCTGAAGTTAGCTTACAGCTATCCTCTTGTCACCATTTATATCTTCCACTAAACTGAGGTGCTTTTACTAGGAGCGAATCTGTATCCGTACAGGTCTGCAGCAACCTCAATTCTTGCCTCCTCAGAAGACAGAATTCGACTGAGGGGCAGGAGAGAGTGAGGCACGTTTTAGAGCAAGAGTGAAAGTTTATTAAAAAGCTTTAGAGGAGGAATGAAAGGAAGGAAAGTATGCTTGGAAGAGGGCCAAGCGGGCGACTTGGAAGACAAGTGTGTGGCTTGAGCTTATGACTTGGGGTTTTATAAATTGTCATGCTTCCAGGATCTTGCATTACTTCTCCCCACTCGCCCAACTCCTGAGATCTTATCAGGAAGCTGCTGCTCATCAGTTTCAGGTGTTCTCTATTAGAAGACTGCCTTTCCCTGGTGCCAGCTGTGACCAATTACTACTTTAGCAAGACAATTAATAACTGCATGACCATCTCACCTGACGGTTGCCCGACACTCATCATGTGTGTTTTGGGGGAGCCATCTTCTTTATTTATACCTGACTAGCTACCTACTGTAACAGTGCCAGTTATACTAGTAACTTTTTTTTTTCTTTTTGAGACAGAGTCTCACTCTGTCGCCTGGGCTGGAATGCAGTGATGCAGTCTCGACTCACTGCAACCTCCGCCTCCAGGGTTCAAGCAATTCTTTTTTTTTTTTTTTTTTTTTTTGAGACAGAGTCTCATTCTATTGCCCAGGCTCGTGTGCAATGTTGCGATCTTGGCTCACAGCAACCTCCGTCTCCCGGGTTCAAGCAATTCTCCTGCCTCAGCCTCCCGAATAGCTGGGATTACAGGCGAGCACCACCACGCCTGGCTAATTTTTGTATTTTTAGTAGAGATGGGGTTTCAGCATGTTGGCCAGGATGGTATCGAACTCCTGACCTCGTGATCCACCCGCCTCCGCCTCCCAAAGTGTTGAGATTACAGGTGTGCACCACCACGCCTGGTATACTAATGACTTTACATTTTGTTTCACTTTTAAAATTTTAATCATTTAGGTTTCTAGAATTAGTATTAAGGCCTTTGGCCAGACCTTGTTTTGCCACTTTTTTTTTTTTTTTTGAGACGGAGTCTTGCTCTGTTGCCCAGGCTGTAGTGCAGTGGTGGATCTCGGCTCACTGCAACCTCCACCTTGCAAGTTGAAACAATTCTCCTGCC